AAATTAATGTAAGCTACTATGTAGCTGTCCTCAGCACTTTAGATGAATGTACATTTTTGAGACAGCTATAACATTCATATTAGATACCTGATAGATTTCTCAGATGTGCTATGAGCATCAAATACTTTTCTTGGGATTATCTGCAAATCATATTGACAGATTTTGAAAAGAGAGAACATTTTTGTAATTACAACTAAATTAAGCAATACCTCTATGAATAAAGTTTATATATGCTTTATTTATTTATTTAAGTTTATTTATTTATCTGTATTAATTACAGAAATACCATAAGGATAGGACACCTTAAGAACACCCCCAAATATTCCACTTTGATTCTCTGGAAGGGCAATAAATTCCATTGCAGGCAAGTTTGGTGCTTAATTTCTTTTTCTTTCCTTTTTTTTTTTTATTTTCATTCTTTTTCTTCTTCCTTTCTATTTTTTCTTTTTCTTTCCTTCCTTTGGAAAGTTATTGTTTTGTTTCACCTACTATGGAACATCTTTAATGACTGCAAATGCAACATATTCTGTATTCAATTGGAATTATGTATGGCAAAAGCATAATAGGAGAAGAATGAGAAGACACCAGAGACATACCTTGGCATTCTGACAAAGTGGATCATTTTTGAACACACTGAAAATGAAATGTACTTTTCTAAATAATATTTATGAGATTAAAATATCTTTTAGCAAGAAAACAATGACAATTTTAAAACCAATTGTAAATTACCCTTCAAGAAGCTCATCTACTTGCATTTTTGAAGTACTGTAGTTCAAAACGAGGATATCTTGTTAAAAGATGCTGGCTGCACTACACTTCCTTAAGGTCCTTAGTGTATGCACTTAGGTGGTGCTGTTGTCAAGAGCACTACTCATGATGATGATCATGATTTAATTTTTCTACTTAATATTCCAAGGCATGTTTTTATAGTTTTATTAAAGAAAAAAAAAAAAAAAAAAAGGAAAAAAAAACTTCACCCAAACAAAGAAAAAATAATAGTGCTGCAGTTTATTACACTCCAGTATTTGGGGGTACTCTTAAGGTGGCCCTATCTTTATGCTATTCTTTGTGTACCTAATGTAGATTTCGGTCTGTGTCACTGGGTGTTAACTAGAGTTTATCTGGAGATGACTCTCATGTCTGTGGCAGCTAATTCACATGGGTAAATGTGACCTGCTAACCTTCCTCTTCAGTTTACAAAAACATGTCAAAGAATTTGGAATCTAGCACAAACATCTTGGAAAAAGAATTTTACTGTACTTTTAACTGTATTTTACTTTTGAAGGAGAGGAAGCAAATCCTGCAAACGCTATGCAGATTAGCATTAAGTGTTTACAGGATATCTATTAGCAGGGTCTATCTTAGACACTAATGTAATACTGTGAAATACAAGCTAGTTAATTCCACAGACTCACGCAGGAAGTTAACACAAGATTTTTTATTTAAATTTGTACTATCAAACAGACCTGTCACAGATACAAACATTATTTTTACTCATAGCAAAGTATGTAAAACAGTAGTTACTTGCTGCTATACTTCTGCAGCAGGTTTGATTTATTTATTTATTGCCTCAGTCTTCTCTGGCAATAGCTCCAGCCACACACCGTGGGCCCCGGATATCAAAGCCAGGGACTAGGACAATGATGAACTGGAAGAGATCAGGTTCAAGACCTTCTGAAGAACCTAAAGGTGCACAAGTCCATGGGACCCGATGAAATTCATCCAAAGATCCTGAGGAAAATGGCAAATGAAGTTGTTTTGCCACTGCCCATTATATTTGAGAAGTTGTGGCTGTCCAGTGAAGTTCCCACTGATTGCAAAAGGAGAAGCATAACTCCCATTTCTATTAAAGGAAAACAGTAAGACCCAGGGAACTACAGGCCAATCAGTCTCACCTCTGTGACCAGCACAATCATGGAGCAGATTCTTCTGGAAAACATGCTAAGGCACATGGAAAAAAAAGAGGTGATTGGTGAGAGCCAACATGGCTTTGCTAAGGGCAGATCCTGCATGACAAATCTGATGGCCTTCTATGATGGGATTACAGCACTGAAGGATAAGGGAAGAGCACCTGACATCATCTACCTGGATTTGTGCAAAGCATTTGACACTGTCCTGCATGATATCTTTGTCTCTAAGTTGGAGAAACATGGATTTGATGAGCAGACCACTCAGCGGATAAGGAATTGGCTGGATGGTCACACTCATAGAGTTGTGGTCAATGGCTCAATGCCCAAGTGGAGATCAGTGTTTCTCAGGAGTTGGTATTGGGACCAGCATTAACACTTTTGCTGGTGATTTGCACAGGGGGATCGAGTTTGCCAGTGACACCAAGCTGTGTCATGTGATTGACTTGCTGGAGGGAAGGGGTGACATCCAGAGGGACCTGGATAGGCTTGAGAGGTGGGCCTGTGTGAACATCATGAAGTTTAACAAGGCCAGGTGCAAGATCCTACATCTGGGCCAAGGCAATCCCAAGCACAAATACAGGCTGATTGGAAAATGGATAGAAAGCTATCCTGGTTTCAGTTAGAACAGAATTAATTTTCTGTGTTAATTTTCTGTGTGGTGTTTAGCTGCCGGCCGGGTTAAACCACGACAAAAGCCAACCTTGTGAGAAGGACCTGAGGTTGCTGGAAGACAAGAAGATTAACATGAGCCATCAATGTATGCTTGTAGCCCAGAAAACCAACTGTATCCTGAGCTGCATAAAAAGAAGAGTGGCCAGCAGGGCAAGGGAGGTTATTCTCTCCCTCTACTCTGCTCCTATTAGACTACACCTACAGCACTGCATTCAGCTCTGGGGCCCCCAGCTCAACAAGGATATGGACCTATTAGAAGATGTCCACAGGAGTGCCACAAAGGGGCTGGAACACCTCTCCTGTGAAGACAGGCTGAAGGAGTTGGTGTTGTTCAGCCTGAAGAAAAGGCGGCTCTGGAGAGACTCATTGCGCCTTCCAGTACCTAAAGGGTGCCCTACAGGAAAACTGAAGAGGCACTCTTTGTCAGGGACTGGAGTGAAAGGACAAGAAGAAATTGCTTTAAACTAAAAATAGGTAGATTTAAATTAGATATTGGGAAGGAATTCTTTCCTATGAGTATGGTGAGTCACTGAAATAGGTTTCCCAGAGAAGCTGTGGATGTTCCCATCCCTGGCAGTGCTCAAGGCCAGGCTGGCTGGGGCTTTGGGCAACCTGGTCTGGTGGAAGGTGTCCCTGCCTATGACAGGGGGATTGGAATTAAATGATCTTTATGGTCCCTTCCAACCCAAAGTATTCTATGATTCTATGATTATATGAATAGCAAATTTCCTTTTCTGTTCTATTATTTCCACCAAATATCAATTCCACATAGCCCTAAATTATGCTAACTCAACTGTTTTTTTTTCTGGGAACAGGCTACCCTGGACCACTCAAACATTTTTGTTTGAAGATAAGATTATCAACCAAAGAGTTCCTTGGACTGGATCTGCCACTTGTGGTTTCCAACAACACACAAAGACTGAAAGTTAATGGGGGCAGTATCTGTTATATCACATAAATAGAGGCTATGAATCAGGTATGACTTTAATATGGAAGATGGTGAGAAGGTTGTCACATCTCATTAGTGTGGCCCGTCATTATGTGTACGCAATGTCACATTAGATGGAGAGATGTAACACATTTATGTGCCAATTGACTTCACTGTGCACTTTGCCTTGTACATGCAAAATATTAATTCAGTTTAAAACAGACAACAACAACAAAGGCTATATTAAAAGGCAGAAGAAAACCTTTCTTTGGAGAAAACAACAATAATGATTGACAGAAAATTATAAGGAAGTTGAAAACTAGACACAAATTGCTTAATTGATTTAATAATAACTGGGTTGATACAGAGACAGGCTGTAATCCTGCCTATTTTCACATAATGTAAAAAAAGATTAATACTTCCCTCTCCACATGTAAATTAAACATCTTCATTCATCTGTTTGCTTCTATTCTTTTACCCAACAAACTGACAATATAAATGAGATTAGTATCAGTCTGTAGTTATTCGGCATATAAAAACAAAACCATCACATGTTCACAAATATGTCATCCTGGAAAATCCCAGTTTTTCAAAAGGATACTTTTATAGTTTGTTAGATTGTTGTGATGCTATCCTGTGTTCCTAGAGATGTACTTTCTGTCATCTAAATAATTTTAGCCTATAAAAGCTGGAAGAATCTCCTTTGAGGTCAGCAGATTGACTAACCCAATGCAAAACATGCTGCGCTTAGTTCCTTTAGGCTAATTGATTTTTTAGTCTTCACAAAGTAGGGCTATTCAGAGACACAGATTAAGCTTTCTTCCAACCACAAGATCAGAGGCCATTTGAAGTCATTAAATGCTAAATCATTAAATTCTGCATCTGCTAAATCAGAATAAACTGTATATTTCTCATTAAATATATCCTTCACGATTTCCACAGTATCAGTAAAAAAGGACAGTGGTCTGATCCATTTTATTCTTCTGTTCAAGCAGTGGGGTTAACAAGAACCAGATATGCACAGGCCCTACAAAAGATTACTTTTTTCATCTGTAGGTCACCTAGAAAGGATAGTGCAGAGATGATACAGCAGATTCCCCTTTTGCCACATCACTTTCTATTACTGCTACTTCATGTAAAAGCCGTACTGACACAGAAAAAGAACTAAAAGCCATATGCCTTGGACAGAAAACTAAAAAGGATCATGCATAGTCCCTTCTAGATTCTCTGGAGATCCCAGAAGGAAAAAGCTTCCCCTTTTGATTAGACAGATTTTGTGTCTGTATGGATGTGTGGGCTACATACATACACATACAGGAATAGAAAAGTGAAGGAATTGAACTTTTTGTAATTTTCAAAATTTATAATTTTTTTACCCATGATAAAAATGCTCAACAAATAATTTCCTTGGAGCTTTCCAGTTCATTTACAAAAAGCTTTTCTCTTCAAAAAGAAAACTGTGACTAAAAAGATTCTTCTCGATCAGATCTTTATGACATCATTTATTACTTTTGTGTTATTTAAGAGTAAACATTATCACCTGGAAGGGATGCAAGCCAAAATTTTGAATGCAACTCAACTTTGAGTAAGATATGGGTCAAATAATCAAATCCAAAGCTCCTGCTAGAGTTGTTATCTCTGATGAAATTCAGAACTGAAAAAAAATCTCCAAAAACAGCTGTTCTCATTGGATTTATGCAATCTGGTTACAAAAAAATATTGGAGTAAGACCGTCATGTGTTAGCAGTATTGAACCTGAACACCAATGCTTAATACAAAAGAATCAGGATCTGAGATCACTTTTTTTCCATTCAGTGCAACGATGGCCCAGCCTAGCTATACAGTGAAATACAACCCAAAGCCACCTGCAACTCAGCAAACAGAACAAGGAAGACGATAAGAGTCAAAAGGCCTTTCTATTCCTTTTTATTCCTGCCAGTGATTTAATGTGCTCTTGCTATGCTAAGTCAGCTAGTCTCAAATTTTCAGATGCAACCTGTGCGCATTTTGGAAGTGTTTACTGGTTGCACTGAAAGCAATATAAGCTACAAGTGCTCATCATCTCTAGAAAGAAGCCATAAAATGTCAAAAACAACATAAAGCACCTAAAGCTAGAACCCAACAAGGACTTTCCTTCAACAGATAGAAATACCTATGGTTTTCAAAAAGACAGTCAAAGAGATAGCACAGAGCTCAATGCAACAGCAAGGGATTTTCCCCATGCTCAGTTCACCAACGGGCTGCAGACTCTTTATATAGTGACAGTCAAGTAATGTAGCCAAAACTTGCAGCAGATATGATTATAGCACTTTGCAGTACCACACACATATGGTGAGAATAAGCACAGTAAAGCCTGGGAGTTCTTCTTCAACTTCTTCTGTTGCAATGTAAAAGCTGTTTGTTTTATACATGGAATGAAGAAAATGACACAAAACTTATGCATAGCTGGAAAGAAGTTAGGATTCAGACTGAAAATGAAATATGAAATGTCCTGGCAACACTTTGTATTCCAAGAAATTACTTAAAATAGCTTTTCTTCATTGTAACAATATTGAAATGTAAACACTTCTTCTTTTTTCAAGAAAAATGTGTTTACCACAAGCCATAAGGACATTTAGATAAAGAAATATGTTTTCCACTGGAGTAAGATCAAAATTTCTACTCAACTGCACATTAAATAACCAAGTATTTTTCACACAAGAAGAACTAAGCAATCCTCTCCATCTTCTTCTTGGCCTCACTCTGTATTTTAGACATGTATAAAGCAGCTCATATAATTTACTTCTGAAGATATGAATTCAAAGCTGCAGTGGCAACATCTGATCAAGGGACATTCAGCCCTGAACTACTCTGATAGTATCAACTACTCGGATAGTAACAGGGTATCTTCAGGATAGGCTCCTTAAACTGACCATAAAATACATCATGGATGTCCTACACATAAAGTGTAAACCAGGGCAGGAGTAAAGGCAGGCTAGGCTCTGCTGCAGGGCCACAGCCTGTCTACTGGCCCACCACCATGGCCTGCCCATGCTTACATCCCCTGCGTAGTCATCTCCTGCAACAAGACATCCATTAGCCCCACCAGGTACCCAATGCTGTGCAGGAGGCACAGCTTTCCCACTCTTACCTCAGCGTCTTTCTCAATCTCTAGCCCTGCTGCCACCAGGTTGTGTTCATACTCCTCCCTCTGCAGTCGCTTCTCTTCCTCCAGGGCGTCCAGTGGGCCCAGCTCTATCATCTGAGCCCCCAGCAGCTCCTGTGGGATGTGCTGGCCACTGTCTGGCTGCAGCTTGAGGCGACCCTTCCTGGTTTCTCCATTTGAAACAACAGTCATGGAGCCTGCCCTGTTCATTGGCTCTGGTGAACTGGCCCCATGCTGGTGCTGGGCAAGGCGTTTTCGGTAGTGGTAGGCTAAAACATAGTCGACCTTTCTCTTGCTGTCCCTGAAGTGCATGCCACTCACAGAGTCCACAGCCCCTCCTTGGGTCCCATCCAGGTAATTGTTTATAATCTGAAAGGGAAACACATGAGTATCATGAATTGAAAACCCTAAAGTCCAAGGAGAAGCCAGGCCTAGTGTCTGACAAGCACTTTAAAGCATTAGATGAGCAGAGCAAAAATTGGAGATTAACTGGGGATACGTATGATCCTTGTCCTACGTATGACCCATACGTATGATACGTATGAAACTTGTACTCTGCAGATCGGATTGAATCACATTGAGCTCTTCTGACTGTAAACAAATTAGAGTGTCTAAAGACAGTGACCTTATCTAGCACCACGGGATAGCTACCTATCCGACACGTGGGTACAGACGTGCATGCCAATGCTGTCTTTTGGTTTATGTGTAAACAGACTATATAGGATACCACATCAGCATTTTAAAATGGGATTGAGAATTGGGAACAAAGATCACATTACAATTTGGGACATAAAAAAGGATGAGCTGTGGAGCAAAGATGGTCAGGGAACCAAAGTAGGTGACTGCGTGCAGGAGTAAAAAGGGACTGGCTCCAGCTAGAACAAGAAAAAGTTCCTCAAAGTAGTATCAGGGCAAGAAGGCAGGGCTGGACAGAGATGACTTGTCAAATACCAGGGATTAGAGAGAATAAACCCCATGGATAGCTAACAGTTAATGTGTATTTTAATCTATCATGAGAAGAATATGTGACTGAACATATTCTTTACATATTTCTTTACATACTTTACATAATTCTTTCTGCTGTAACATCACAGAAGGAAATCAACCATAACCATTAAAATTGCCTATGTTCTACTTGCTATTACTGTGGACCATCTCTGCCACCTCATCTCCACTATCCAAAACCTTCTGGCATGAAACTACTTCCATTCTACCACCACCACCCCACCCTACGGGGGACAGCAATTCTGCAGAATCTGTGTTGAACACAAAATTGTTAAAAAGCACCCTTTCTAGCTCAATACTGTATCTTAAAACCCTTCACAGAGCTCTACTGTGTCATTTATTAAAGTGACACCAGCACTTAAAAATGGGGAAATACATTCAAGCATATAAATATGGTCAAGCAAATAAATATGATTCAAATCAATGAACCCCTAATTTAATTCCAGCTATTTATGGATCCCATAGGTGGCTATACAAGCAAAATTTTGACAGGTACCAGTTAAGGGTTTCTTTCTCTCCTTACCTCCCCCTCTATCACATGCACCAGTAGTCCTGAATTCAAAGCTAACCAAGCAAATTGTATGGCAGTTTTGGCATTTGTTAACGCAACATGAATACTTGAAGGCTTTAGACATATGTGCATATTGTTAAATACACCAACAGCTCCCAAATTCTTGTTTTTTATTGCTTCTCTTCACATCTCAGTTTCTCACAAAGTAGCTTTCAGTCACCATATCCTTTAATAAATCATTTTTGTATGCATACTCCGTCCTTCTTTATTTCATGAAATTATCACATAATCTGTTCCACACATTACACATATCACACACATTATGTGTATAGCATATGTATAGTCCCTTTAGGCACATCTAAACTTACACTCAACAATAGATTCTGGCAAAATATAAAACTGCTCAGGAGATAGCACTTTATTGCAACTCCCCATTTCCTAGTTAGGTCCATTTTCATATAGTACTCACAGGCAGTCCATGCAAACTTTCATGATCCATCTTTGCCACAATGAAGAAAATCCTGTTCCAGATTCCTAGTCTCCCTTCCGGAGAGTTTCACACAATACAGTGCAGAAGTAATGATGTCACCACTGCCTGGTTGCTGGCACAACACAATGCATTAGTTGACTCTAGAGAAAATGAACTCCAAATATCCTCTCCTCTCTTACTGGCAAGCGTGGGCAGAAATAAGATGCTCAAACAAATGCAGAAGAGAGAACAAGGAGGCTGGGAACATGAAAAAGCATTAAGAGATTTTCCTGTTTATTACCTGTGTGTAGCCAGCTGCCACAACCCTGCCACCTGAGAGATCACCATAGCAACATTAGATGTTGTTGGAGTTACACAAAATAAAATGAGGAGATACAGTAGTTCCACTCTCCCTGTCTTGTAGACTCTTGCTTATTCCTCCCCAGCCACTCTTGGAAGCAAAGTGCCATTCCCCATTATTATGGGTTTCTATTGAACAGAGAATGTCAAAATTCCCACAAAATTCTGTGAAAGCGTTTTCTGACCCTAAATATGCAATACTTTATTCACCATGTCACCTTCTGGCACAAGAAGGCCTTATCAGAGAGAAACACAAATTAAGTAAATTGCAATTTGCAAAACACCACTGAAAAAATTATTAAGATCTTTCTCTCCTTCTCACTGCCCTTGCAGAAATCAGAATCAGTGATCTAAATTACCATTTTCAATCCTAGACTCATTGCTTCTTGATGTTTTCAAGACAAGCAGCCAGTACACCAAGCAATGAGAATATCTGAAAGTAGGATCGGCATTTCATGACAGTTTTATTCTATTCCTCTAATAGCACATATATCACTACAAACATATCCCAAGAGGTCTCTCCCCTAACAGCTATGCTGTGAAGACTGCAGCCTCACTATGTTTCCATCTTCCAGTCCAGCTCAAATTAACTCCTAGGTATGTGTTGACCTATGATTTGAAAAAAGATTAGTTTACAAGAACAGTTTAGTCATCAACCTGCAGATCTTTTCATGACCCAGGGTGCCCTGAGCTGGAGGAACATAACAGTGGGAATGATGAACTCCCAACTGACCCTGAACATGTGCTGGATTTGCTGCTCTGCCTGGATCTATACAAGTCTATCGATCCAGATGCGATTCATCCCATGGTGCTTAAAGAGCTGGCTGTCGTCATCACGGGACCTCTCTCAATTATTTTTCAATGCTCTTGGGAATTTGGAGAGGTCCCAGTAGACTGGAAGCTGGCAAATGTTGTGCCAATTTTCAAGAAGGGTAAGAAAGAAGACCCTAGCAATTACAGGCTTGTCAGTCTCATGTCAGTGCCTGGTAAAATTATGGAGAAGATGATTCTTGAAGTTATTGAAGCGCACCTGGGGGACAATGCGGTCATTGGTTCCAGCCAACGTGGGTTCATGAGGGGTAGGTCCCGCCTAACAAATTTGATTTCCTTTCATGATAAGATCACCCATCTAGTCAATCAAGTCGATTAATCAATCAACCAGCTGATGTGATCTTTTTGGACTTCAGCGAGGCTTTTGACATGGTTTCCTATAGGATCCTACTGGACAAAATGTCCAGCATACAACTTAACAAAAACATCATACAATGGGTGAGCAATTGGCTGATGGGCAGGGCTCAAAGGGTTGTGGTAAATGGGGCCACATCTGGCTGGCAGATGATCACTAGTGGAGTCCCTCAAGGCTGCATTTTAGGGCCAGTCCTCTTCCATGTCTTTATAAATGATTTGGATATAGGACTAGATGGTGTTTTGAGCAAATTTCCTGATGACACCAAACTTGGAGGAGTTGTGGACTTAGATGAGGGTGGAAAGGCCTTGCAGAGAGATCTAGACAGGCTGGAAAGCTGGGCGATCACCAACCACATGAAGTTTAACAAAAGCAAGTGCCAGGTCCTGCACCTGGGTTGGGGCAACCCTGGCTTTACGTACAGACTGGGTGATGAGATTTTTGAGAGCAGCCCCGCAAAGAGGGATCTGGAGGTTGCAGTTGACAGCAAGTTGAATATGAGCCAGCAGTGTACCCTGGCAGCCTGGAGGGCCAACTGTATCCTGGGGTGCATGGAGCACAGCATTGCTAGTTGGTCGAGGGAGGTGATTGTCCCGCTCTACTCTGGGCTGGTGTGGCCTCACCTCGAGTACTGTGTGCAGTTCTGGGCACCACAGTACAAAAAGGACATGACAGTGTTGCAGAGTGTCCAGAGGAGGGCGACAAAGATGGTGAAGGGCCTAGAGGAGGAGACATATGAGCAGCTGAGGTCACTTGGCCTGTTCAGCCTGGAGGAGGCTGAGAGGAGACCTCATTGCAGTCTACAACTTCCTTGGGAGGGGGAGTGGAGAGGCAGGTGACCTATTCTCTGTAAACACCAGTGATAGGACCTGTGGGAATGTTGTTAAGCTGAGGCAGGGTGTCCTGGTTTCAGTTAGGACAGAGTTAATTTTCTTCCTAGTAGCTGGTAGAATGCTATGTTTTGTCTTAGGATGAGAAGAGTGCTGATAACACACTGATGTTTTAAGTGTTGCAGAGCAGTGCTTACACTGAGCCAAGGACGTCTCAGCTTCTTGCTCTGTCCTGCCAATGGGCAGGCTGGGGGTACAGCAGGAGCTGGGAGGGGACAGACCCAGGACACCTAACCCAAACTAGCCAAAGGGGTATTCCATACCATCTGACGTCATGCTGAACAATATATAGGGGTGGCTAGCCAGGGGTGGGGGTAGGACTGCTCGGGGTTAGGCTGGGCATCGGTCAGCGGGTGGTGAGCAATTGAATTGTGCATCACTTGTTTTGTACATATTATTATTAGTACTATTACCATCATTATTGTTATTATTATTTTCCTGTCTTAATAAACTGTCTTTATCTCAACTCACAGGCTTCACTTTCCCATTTCTGTCCCCCATCCCAGAGAGGGAGGGGGGAGGGTGAGTGAACGGCTGTGTGGTGTTTAGCTGCCAGACGGGTTAAACCATGACACAGGGGAAGTTTAGGCTGGACATCAGGAAGAGGTTCTTCACTGAGAGCATGGCTGCACACTGAACAGGCTCCCCAGGGATGTAGTCACTTCACCAAGCCTGTCTGAATTTAAAAAGTGATCGGACTGTGCACTTAGTCACATGGTCTAAACTTTTGGGTAGACCTGTGCAGTGTCAGGAGTTGGACTTGGTGATCCTTATGGGTCCCTTCCAACTCAGGATATTCTATGATTCTATGACTATGAAAGGTATTAGAGGTATGTCAATGAACATAAAATCCTACTTACTGAACTGCTGTAGGACTCCATATGGTTAGCTGCTTCAAAAGATCCATTGACACAGCAGCTGTGCAAGGAAGGATGGTTTCGAGGAACAGTGAGGTATTTGCTGTTGCATGCTGAAAGAGAGTCTCTTGATGATGCTGCCTTCTGTCTGCTCAGACTTGGGTGTGAGGAAGCTAGAGGAAAGTCTGAGAATAAAAGAAATAGCGTTACATTAAGAAGGCTTTTGCACAGGTAGTTTCAGGTGCTGAACTTAAGTAAACGGAGAAAGGTGCACGCAACTGCAGAGGAGTAGCAGGTAATGTGAACTGCTGGAGAAGTGGGAACTTGGTTGTTCAACAGGATTTGTACTCCTGCACTTTAGCCACAAGATTAGAAGCTGGAAAATCTGTTCTTTGCAACTAGCCAAGGACCTCCTGCCTGAACATGAGCAAGCTGTGTGTTTCAAGTGACTGTACTGCGGTTCTATTGGAGCTATATTCATGCCAGATGGGAGAAAAATCACTGCAACTGAAGTGAGTCAAGTTTGCTTACAGTTTACAACTAGGCCTGAAGTGGAGTATTTTGGTTCTGGTGTAATGTGAACAAAATTAAGTGCAATCAGGTATAGATAGAAACTTCTGGCTAGCCGTCATTCTCTATTAAAAAGTTAAATTTTGGACAAACAATGGAGTGAAATTGTCATGAAGTACATTGAAGTTTATCCCTAAATGTTTTACTTTTAGGGACTAATGTCCTGTTTTGGATGTGTTTCCCATTTCTTTTATTGGCAAATTTCATGGGCACAAGGCAGCATAACTGGGACAGGTTTTTACATGCCATATCCTAATCACTACCACTGCCATCAGTAAGCTATATCTGTTGTACAGCAGTGTAGTACAACAGTAGAGTAAAAGAAAAATGTTTGGTCATGGGTAAGAAATGCAGTCAATAGAAGCAGTGACACAGGGAAAGAATGATGATAAAAAGTAAGGGTTACAGAAACTTGTGTAACATACAGATGTTTCATACTCTTTCCCCCTCTAGTGGTGCCATAACTATAAATGGAATTGATTGTTTTTTACCCATAGTTTCTCTGAGATGCTTATTCGGTTCAGAAACTGTGGCTTGGTCTTTGAAGCATTAGTGTTTTCTACCAGAGAGAAGATCCAGATGGAGCAGACCCATCTGCCCACAGAATTAGCCCCACTACCCCCAAAAAGATAAAACACCATGCTTCACCAGGAGGTACTTCTGTCTTTCCCAGGAAGAAGAAATAATTGGAATATTCATTGGCTCCCACATATCCAGGGAGACACTACATCCATGATATCTCTTCTTGCCTTCTTAGTAGGCAGTCCTAGCAATGCTTCAGTTCTTTTCCCCCACTTCTGCCTTCTGCCTAAGGGGAAAAAAAAAAAGTAGTTTCAACAGCCTAGTATAGCTATTTCCCAGTATGGGAGGAACTGCCCAATGAGATCTGCTGCACTGTGTTAAGACAATATGATTTCCCTCGTGGTGATGGAGACAGGGCAAGAGGAAGGCAGGAATAACTCTCTCTCTCTCAACGTTCATGTGACTGAAGAATATTTCTTCCAAAGTGCTGAGCCATCTAACTGGTGGCAGAAGTATCTTGAATTGCATCTCAGGAAAGGAAGAATTGAAGACATGAATATGCAGGAAACCTACGGAGTTGTGCAGTGATCATCTTCTTCAAATAATTCAAGGAAAATCTAAAAAGATTCATTCTTATTGATTGTGAAAACAGAATTTTGTGTCTCTCTCTCATTTGGGGTGGAGCAAGGATTATTTTTAAAAAGAAAATGCTTGAGGGGGGACGGAGTGGCCCCTAAAATTATGATTATTCCTATGATTCCTATCAATAACAAATTAGGGTCCTGCAGCACTTGAACCACTCAATGGATGACTCACCAGTTTTCCTTTTCTGATCTCTAAAGAAGACTCACACTTGTTTTACTTTAATGAAGCACATAATGATGCCACAAGGGAAACTCCAAGGCAAATAATTAATAACTGAAGCTTTCATTCCCAAAGGGTAAACATGGTATTTCTCCAGTATTTTCAGTCTAAGCCTGCAATATCTCACAAGACCTTTATACAGTCAATTAAATACTTTTCTTCCTAGTCCTTTTAGTTGAGCCTGGGAAAAAAAAAAAAAAAGAAAAAAAAGAAAAAAAAAGGAAAAAAAAAAAGAAAAAAAAAAAAAAAAAAAGAAAAAAAGGAAAAAAAAGACATGCAGTCCATTTATAATAAAATAATTTCATTTCCATTGTGCTTCCTAACCTTCACAAACTGTGTCACAAACCTGAGGTTAATGTTAGTAAGCAGGCGAAGCCATCAGTGATGTCCAGTCAAAATAAGTTTTTAGATGGAAATGCAGTTTCTATGTCAAAATCTGGAAGACGCCTTTTAACCCAAAAGTTTTTCATCTTCCCAAATCAAACTGACTGAGCCAAAATGTTTTTCTCTGAACAAATTCCACATTTGACAGTACTTGCCGATAGTACACAGCTCCTCAGGGGCTTGTACTTCAGATGCTTCCTGACCTTCTACCCTGCAAGCCTTTACGACATCTGGCCTTACATGTTCTCATTCTGTAAATATTCTAGAGGAATTAGTATTGATAGAAACAATCTGTGTGTACATGTGCACGTCTGTATATATACATATATATATTTGTACATAAACAGATGCATATCTTTGAGGTGTGTATGTACACACACAAACACACACCAAAGCTACACCCCAGAGAACAGTGGTGGAGTGAATTCCGCCTGGAAAACAAGTGTTCAAGAACTACATTTATTTTCAGAAAAATGGCATGGGAACCTTTCCTTTAGTCAAGCTTCTTCAAGTTGCAAATGGCTTACAAGGACACAGTACCTTCTCAACAGAGTTTAAGACGTGCACACCACCAAAAGTGGAAGAACTAAGGAGGATGTCTTAAAGGACCATGCTGCTTGTGAAATATGCAATAAGGAGCCATCCTTATTAGGAGATCTGTATTAATCTTGAGTAACAGCCAATTATCTGAGTGGTCCAGATGGTCAGATTATCATAGACAAAACCTCTGCAGAACATACTGTAAAAGATTTTGGCCACTCAGGGCACAGACAGTGGTCTGCTTTTGTTTATCATCCTCTCTTTCCAGTAAAGTATCAGAAATGACTATATTTCTGGGACACCACAGTGAGAAGTGTACTTGTAACTCACATGAAATCCTGTGCAAGGTTGTTCAAAATATCTGCTATTTAGCAGCATTGTTTGGTGAGTTTGCTATTCCTTCCATCCTCCAATGAAATATGAAAATGAATTGGTTTTATTTACTGTTCGTAGATAGCTTGACTTGAATGTGACTTTAAAGAATGTATGTATAAATAAGAAGATTTAACATGGTTATTATATACATGTGTTCTTTAGGTCCCTACTGAACTAATGGCTTCCCACTTCTGAACATGAACATCAAAAGAGACTGATTTCAATACAGCTAATCACACCTGTAAAAGCATGCAAGTATTTTAATCGCACTTTTTTTTTTAATTTTTTTTTTTAAGCTGCCACCCCTTGTCTCTTCAAATACTCCGAATTGTATGATTTCTCAATTCAAGAGTCACAAGGGAATGCATGCTAATTAATTGAGCCTTGGTCAACCTTAAAGGAAGCAGGATACCTAAGGATGTTCCTAGGAAAAATATTTTATGTAAGAAATACATTATGAAAGGGTTGTGAGGCATTGGAACAGGCTGCCCAGGGAGGTGGTGGAGTCACCATCCCTGGAAGTCTTCAAAAGACGTTTAGATGTAGAGCTTAGGGATATGGTTTAGTGGGGACTGTTAGTGTTAGGTTAGAGGTTGGACTCGATGATCTTGAGGTCTCTTCCAACCTAGAAATTCTGTGATTCTGTGATTTTTTCAATATCACTTGAAGGAAAGGTTTCATTACAGGTGATCTAGATTAGCATAGCTTCTTATTTGAATAAAAGAAGATTCAAGTTTGACCATTAAATTTTAAATATTTGGTATTTCTTCCTTCAGGTTAGTTTAAGATCTATTTAGATACTCAGCCTTCTTGTGCTTAACTACATGTTAAGCAAAAAATTATCCCCACAACACCATTAGGAAGTTTTCTCTGTAAGGAATATTTATTATTTGATCATATTCTGGAGTCTGGGAGGGAAAGGTCTGAGTGTAAGGCAGAATGTAAAGGGATACACTGAGATACTGATTCCTACCCAAGAGATTCTCATTTCTGAGTGTCCTGGAGGGTCAGGGTGTGACATTTCAAACAATATTAGGACAAGGTCCAGAAAGGCAGATGTACCCAGGCTGCCCAAGGCACTAAGCTTTTTAAAGGCATTTTTGCCCTTACCATCTTCAGTTTGAGAGGTACTGTTTAAGTGCTCAAACTGCAGGCTGCAAATTTAGATCTCTCCTCTCTTGGTGAAAACTCATCTACGGAGAAGAAAATAGGAAGTGGCAAACCTGGGGGGAGGGGAGTATTCTGTTCCTAGCTCCACTTCTTCCTCCGATTGGTTGCATCCCCAGAATTATTCCCCAGGAGTTATAATGCTTGGGGGATATGGCTGGGAGAGTGTGATAAAGGTGGAAAACAGACAATGGATTGTATGGAGCCTACTGCCTACTGTAAACCTTAGCAGGACTGTTCTTTCTCTGATCTTGTTTTAGCCCTTTTTACTACTTCCCATAAGCTTCCACTGAGTTACTCCTCTCCAGGGTAGTCCACATACACTCAAGTATGAAATTTGCTTTAATTTGCTCCACGATGCATAGTTTTCCTATTAGCTACTGGTGAGAGCATTAGACAATTCGAAAAGCTTTGCCTGTTTTTAATTCCTACAATTCTTAAAAAGCACTAATGGTAGTTTGGAAAACATAATGAAGGGAACCGCTGTCTTCTGTAGTTACGTTGAATTTGGTGGAGTTGTGTGCAAGGAGTAATTCTGGCACAAAATGAGCATCTTCCCATATTACCATGCACTTTGAGACTGTAACGTTTCAGGAAGCTGTTAATAAGCAGTAAGACAGAACATTTTGTCCTAATCCTCTGGCCCTTAGGGTGAACGTATATTCACAGATTCTTTAAAGAATTACTTGCTTAAAGGATAACAACAATACTCATAAAAACATCCTAGGGAAAAGAATGGCAGGGAGCAGCAAGAGTCACCTGCTTCACAGGGTAAGGTGAGCCAGGAGCAGAGTGTGATGGAGCAGAACAGCGAGTGACCCCACTGACAGGGAGTCCAGGTGTAAGAGCAGCAAGTCTGGGTCAGAATCAGGGACAGAGTGATCTGGGTCAGTCACAGCTCAGCAATCCCCCGGAAAGGCATCAGTGACACAGCAAGTCCAAGGCCAAGTCAGGAAGCTGAGCCCTCACCTACAGGTCAGGACCAGACTAACAAAGGTCCAAGATGGAGCACAGATATAGCTGCTGATCAGCTTGAGACTTAGCATAAGTGGAGGCCAGCAGTAAAGCCACAGCTTGCAAAAAACTGTTTTTGAGGGAAAGAAGGGGTAGGTCCTCCCTTCTAGCTTCCTTCACAACAGCTATGGTCAGTGAGGGAGCTGGACATTGACTCAGCCAGCTATACTCTTTGACGTGACAAGCTGAGTATTTAGAGGTGGAATGCACTGGTCCTGAACTGTTGCCAGAAACATTGCAGCACCTCAAACAGACAGGGGCAGGAAAGTGGAAGTTCCTTGCTGGCATGGACCTGCCCAAATAACTCTGGTCACAGACACAAATGTAAAAGCCTGTGGTTGCACTCGTTTGGTAGATGCTCATGGACCTTCACTTCTGACATTAGGAACAGGAAGAATGCACCTGAGTTAAAAGAATTGCTCACTCACCTCTAACACACACCATGAGCATGAGAGTCTTTTAAGGGATGCAAGACTATGAGTCAAGAATGAAGGAAGAGGAACAGAGCTGTGGATAAAGACATGGGAACCAAACAGTATAAACCAAAACTGGAAATGCTTTGTGAGCTGTTGAATTAACTGAAGACTTAATGGAGCTGTATCTATATAATACAGCTGTGCATACATGCTCACTTTTTTTTTTCTTTTTTCTTCTTTTTGCTTTTCCAAAGCTGTCTCTAAATATAGATATTACAGAAAGTACCTGATTTATCCCACATTACATGTATAACAGAACAAATTCAAACAGTGAAGAAGGATCAGGAATAAAAAAAAGGACATCAGAGGAATGCTACAAAGACTAGCATTAGGCCTTAAATCTAATCGCTGTTTGCACACTGCAATTTAATATATTCAATTAATTTTATAAAGGCAACTGTATGGGAGAACACAAAAGCAGGACTCTGTGAACTTCAGGATTGTTTCCTGTTCACAACAGAGCTACAAGACCCAGAAACGCTAAGACACAATGTCTGGAAACAACAGAGTTCTCATCTGTAACAATAAACAAATAGCACTACAATATTATCACTGAACAATATTCTGAACTCCTACACTGGGAACTCAAACACAAAAGATTTTACACACTGAGCAGATTTATTCCTTGCATATGGGAACTGAAATCTCAGTGCATTCAGTCATCTCTGAAAAAGGATATTGTCCTCTTCCCCAGTTGCACTGCAATAAGGATAACACAGAGGAAAACAGCAGAGCTCCAGAAAAAGAGGTTTGCCTACTGATTTTCTTTTCCACATGAATCACAATGCTGCACTCCCAAGACTTCTGAAGAAACAAACTGTGTGTGTGTCTCTGTGTTTTATCTCTGAGCTGTTTGTATGTAACCTGGGCCACAAACTTTTTTTTTTTTTTTTAAAAAAAGGTCGTGAAAGAAGACAAGTTCTTTGAAAGTATTCCTTTTCCTGTTCCCCACCCCCTTTCCATCTATTCAGCTGCATAGGCAGCAATTAACAACAAAGCAGAGAATAAACTTACCAGGTGCATGAGTTTCCATGTTGCCTGGAGGTTTGGCTGGAAGTTGTGACAGAGCTAATAGGATGTGGCTATGCTGATCATATGCACAATCTGTTTCTGCACTGTCTTAAGTTGTGAACAACATTAGCAGCTATTTCTATCCTGGCTTGATCCTTCTTTAAGCAAGCCAGACTGAAGCTAATTAGCCAGACCGTCTGTTTTGGTTATTACCCTGTAGAAGAAAGAGAGAGGAAAATGGCAAAACTCCCGTGACCTGAGACGCCATGGTGATTCTCTACTAGAAGTTCAGCATCTTGTCTTCATGTTCCATAATACCTCAGCAAGCAATGTAACAACATATTTTGTCCTAACTCCACAAAAGGCAGCAGAGGAAAGGAAGAAAAAGCTAATGCAAAACCAGGGTTCTGTAGCAGCCAGCTCTGTTTGAAAAGCAGTTCTTTCAAGAATTACACTTAAATCCCGGAGGTGGTTTCAGTGAGGAAGAGCGGCTGTATATCTGCAAAGCTTTACAGTGCTTCAAGGTAGGACGTAAGTGTGGTAACCTTTTTATAAGGCTGTATCTCAGGTACTCAAGTTACCTTACTGCCTGTATGCTGTCTTTCTTGCATGAAATATTCAGGGGATTATCTTGTAATCAACTGTATAGTCAGACTAAGTGATGGATCCTGCTTAGCCTTCAACCTTATATACCAGGAGAAAGGGTTATTCCTGACCTTCTGAGAAAGGACTTACATTTGCTAATGCTAATTGGAGACAGGTGAAATTATTTGAAGTTCAAGTCTTTTTCTTCCTTCAAGCTTATCTGTGACACTACAACAGTCTCTTTAATGCAAGAAGTGGGAATCGATTTGCTCAATGATAATAAAGTACACTGTTTCTGGTGGCATGTGAATTAAGGTTGCACACTGGGCTATAATCTGCAAGAGTAGCAGATGTCTATATCACAGAGAGAAGTCCTAGTATCTTATGTTAATATCAGAACTTCATTTAGAAACTGCCTTCAGATATAAAACAAGAAACATCCTGGCTTCCACAGCTTCTGGACTGATTGGTCTAAAAACTAATAATTACAGAAATTAAAAAATAAAAATTTAGAAATTACTATCAGGTGCTGTGTAAGCTTTCTAGAAGGGAAGATGTTACTTCAAACAGCTTGCACACTAGTCTATGCATACTAGTTTTGAGATTGTATGTCTGATTTTATTATTTTAATTGCATGAGCACCCCATCCATTTGAATAAATGAATCCCACTTTAATCAAATGTCCACAGCTCTTCTCCAGCTACATTTCAGACTTACTTGTTATGGAGCAAGGGGTAACAATGTAGAACTATAGAATACTCCATTGGAAGCATCTGTTGAACTGCTTTTCTGTGTTGATGTTTTATAAGCAATTATTCTACTCCTTGGATAGATAGCAAACCTACTGCTACACTTATCTCTGGGAGAAGGCAATGAAAAGTTGCTGAAAATTATGCAATTTTATATTTATATTTTATTTTGATATTTTATGCTGCATGAACTAAAAGATAAAACAGAAAGGCACACCCGCTAATTTTGAGGAAGTTTAGGGATGTAGGGCCAGGTTCTACCAGGATCCCTATGGACACAAACTCTTCCTACATGGGTTCAAATTATTAGCTCCTATAAGCCATGACGATGGGTCCATTACAGGTAATACAGTTAGTACAGGTAATAAATAATATACAGAGGAAGCAATAAGATAGGAAGCAATATCCAGCTAGTCAAAAAGGAAATGGGTTTGTTTGGGCGATTTTTGTTTGCCTGTTTGTGTTAGGACATTTTCCAATAGAGAAAATCATATCATCTTTGTGTTTCCTAGGGTATCTGGATACAGTGTTAGCTGATAATGTAAAGCCAGAGCAAATAATGCCAATATAGCAGATTGTGTTTCACCTTCTGTAGAGGCACTTGGAAGTCTGTAAAAGTCAGCAGAGAGATTACATGCCTTTAATAATTAACAGGTTTTATAAGATTCCTTCCCAAATCCATTTAATGTTCATGTAAATCTATCTTGTATCATGTTCATCAATCCAACTGGTCTTCTAAAGTGATTAGATGTATTTTCAATCATTGGTGGAAATGCAAAAACAAAGATATGTAGCTCAAAACAAGACTCGCAAGCAGTACACCCAAGTTAAAAATGATGTCTTTCAAAGCCTGAATTCTGCTGGTAAGTGTTAATTATACTTTCTGTTGTACAGCATGGTTCTGCTGTTTTGGCATGTTACTACTGTTTGTGTGTACAGCTGTCTACTAAGCAGGCACTTGATTACAGGCCTGAGTTTATTCTTCACTTCTTCTAGGAAAGAATACTGCTGAAAAGAGAAGAACTGTACTAAAATACAACTGGACTGTGCAGAAGGTAATTGAAACCTGCAGGGAGGAACTCTGAGCCAATTTCTTTACTGACATCACCAGAAAGACAGGTTGCCTGAGGTAGGCTGCCTGAAAAAAGCTTGCTTCTCATACTAGCAGGTGAGGGCCAAAATTCTATGTACTTTCTCAGCCTGTTAAGGGTGCTGCTATAGTATTCCCTTCCTTTTTCTCTTTCTCACTTGTCTGTTCCTATGACAAATTTTCAATGAAAACACTACTTTGGCCTTATGCACCAAGCACTACAGGACCTTGGCTTTGCTTGTCATAAATAGGTGCTAGACAGACATGATTAATAACAGCCTTGACCATACAAAAGTCCACAGAACTCTATTCTGTAAGGAAAAAACACTAAGTTCTCATGAGATACATTGTGTGACCACTTTAGTCCATGTACTGGCATAGATGTTTGAAAGCAAAATTGCAGCCAAGCAAGATGACAAAAAGCCATTTAGCGTGGGGCATATTCTTGAATTGGTCTAATGTTTTAATACAGATCTGTTTGTCCAATTATATTGAACTACAAATGCTATGAGATTGATCCTATAACCCAGCATTTTTCCGATAAATTACTTGGCTCTCCTCAGGAAAAATGTTAATTGCTTTCATCTGAAAGTAAATATCTTTATTTCAGTTTGTTTCTCCCATGAAATGCTTAGACTTTTCTTATTAAATTAGGTTGTCCTTTTTTTTCTTTTTTTTTTTTTTTTTTTTTTTTTTTCCAGCTGTGATAGAGTTCATTCTATTCCTAGTAGCTGATATGGTGCTGTGTTTTGGATTTAGGATGAGAATAATACTGATAACACGCTGATGTTTTAGTTGTTGCTGAACAGTTCTTAGACCAAGTCAAGGACTTTTCAGCTTCTCATACTGACAGCCAGCAAGGAGGCTGGGGTAGCACAAGGAGCTGAGAGGGGACAGAACCAGGACAACTCACCCAAACTGGCCAAAGGGATATTCCATGCCATATGACATTGTGTTGAACAATACAGCTGGGGAAGTTGGCTGGGGTAGCTACTGCTTGGGGATGGGCTGGGCAAAGGTGAGGAGGTGCTGAGCAATTGCATTGTGCATCAATCACTTTATATATTTTTGTTATTATTATTGTTATTAGTATTATAATTTCCCCTTCTTTTTCTGTCTTATTAAACTGTCCTTAGCCCATGAATTATTAACTTTTTTTTTTATTCTCTCCCCCATCCCAATAGAGTTGGGAGCGGAATGAGCGAACGGCTGTGCAGTGCCATTGTGGCTTAACCCGGCAGGCTGCTAAGGACCACATAGCTGTTTGCTAAGCCTCCCCTCCCCTGCAAGTGGGATGGGGGAGAGAATCAGGAGGAAAAAAGGTAAAAGTTCATGGGTTGAGAAAAAGACAGTTAATAGGACAGAAAAGGAAGAGAAATAACAATGATGATGATATTAACAATAATAAAATGTATAAAGGAATTGATGTGCAAGGCAACTGCTCATCACCTAGCAGTCAATGCCCAGTCTGGCCAAAAGTAGCAGTTCCCTCTGCCCCTCAGCCACCCACTCCATATTTACTGTTCAGCACGATGTCATATGGCATGGAATATCCCTTTGGCCAGTTTGGGTCAACTGTCCTGGTTCTGTCCCCTCCCAGCTTCTTGTGCACCCCCAGTCTCCTCGCTCACAGGGCTGTATGAAACGCTGAAACGTCCTTGATTCGATGCAAGTACTAAAACATCAGCATGTTATTGACACCATTCTCATCCTAAATCCAAAATACGACACCATACCAGCTACTAGGAGGAAATATAACTGTCTCATAGCCAAAACCACGACGGGTGCCTAGCTACCTGCTGGTTTAAGCCACAACAGAGTTAGAAGTAATTGAAGCAAGAATGTTTGCCTGTTTGTTGGACAGACTTTTAATTGAACACTGTCCATCCACTTTGCTGCTGAAGAAAATGCTAGCTATGCTCATCTGATTTTTCAATGGTTACAGAAAACTGTAGCCCCATCTCTGCCCTGTGGATGTTCTTGTGTGTCCTTCCCATGTGGATAAGCTGGTGCTTGGCTTATACAATTACCTAATTAGAAGGCCTGTCTGAAGCCATGAAGGCTGCAATCCTTTCAGCTTTTGCAAGCTAAGAAATGTCAGTCTGGGTCAAGGCACTAAATGAAAATGAAGGGGCAGCCCAGTGGTGGTAAGCAGAAGAGAACAACATTGCTTTTCACCTTCTATCTACCCCTTTTCTCTAGTCCTCTCTGATGTTACAGCAGTTGCTCTCTTTCAGCAGTTGCTTATTTGCAGCATCAGATGAATTGCCATGCAGTTGATTACCCGGAGGACCCAAATCCATCTGTCAGGATGCTTAATATCTGGAGGCAGCTATAGCGATGGAGGAAAACTGGTGACAGATCTACTGCAGTAAGTGAGGATGGTGCTAATTAAAACTTGTGTTGTTTTTGTTTGTTTTTTTACTCCCTGAGGTTATCATGGATTTATGTGTTTGATCCCCTTTTTGATCCTATGGCAGAATAAACAGACATTCAAGAGCAATATAGGGTATCTTGAATGAATAATAAGGAAAGAAAGGGCCTGCATGCTATATGTATTGAGTCCACAGCTGAATGGCAAAAGAGGAGGAGCAGGGATCTATCTGGTTCCTCTCTAAAAGGAGTATAACTTGCCTATTAAGTTGAAAGCATAGAGGGAGTTTTTCAAAAGAGAATGCTCTCAGAAGTGATGCTTCCAAAGGCAAACACTCGTGCAGATAAGGAGGTGTTTTGACCCATTTAATCACATGACGTTGGCATTCATGTGAGGAGAAGTGGCTCTTCACCTCAAAACTTTATTCACAGTTACCAGTGAGGCAATGGTGGAAATGCCCTCTGAAATGCCTTCCATATCTACAGATGCAAATGTAAATACTGCACAGGGACAACCTGATTTCCTGAGCTTTTCTGCTAGACTTTTCAGGAACACTCTTACCCTTCAGGACCTCTATATACACTTTTCATTATTTCAAGAAAGATTCTGCTAGATCTAGAGAAACTATGTTTTTTCACCCATAGCCTATTTCTAAGCTTTACAGATTTCATCAAAAAAGTTTGGAAAGTTTAGTGTTGACAACAACCATCTCCCATCTTCCCAGCTGATTTATCAGAAAGGTAACTCAATTCAACAAGAAGTTGGAATATTTCTTGTCTTGCAAAAGGATAAATGGAATAAACAGTTTTTTTCTTTTATACTTTTTTTTTTTTTTAAATTAGTATCTCCCATTAAAAGTGCTTGACTGACACTAGATTCCACCAACAACCACCCTCTGGAAATCCTTTTCCCTTCTATATCCTGACCAGACCAAATGAAATTTAAATCCTAATAAATTTATCCCTGT